ATTTTCACTGGCATTAACTATGTTAGACATCCAATCGCCACCAACCTTCTTGGTAAAACCTTAAACAAAGAAGTCATTAAGCGCCTCTGCCTTTTCCACATTTTCTTTATTGTCTTTCCCCTGTCATTGAGTAACGGGCCTACGCTCTACTCGGTCTTCCTCTTGATTCTAATGTATTTGTAGAATATTTTTCTTGTTTCCTTTAATGTCCCTAGCTAGTTTGATCTCATTTTGTGCCTTGGCTTTTCTAATTTTGTCCTGGCATACTTGTGGTGTTTGTTTATATTCATCCTTTGTAGTTTGGCTGAGTTTCTACTTTTTGTAGGACTCTTTTTTTGAGTTTTAGCTCATTGAAGATCTCCTGGTTAAGCCAGGGTGGTTTCTTGCCATACTTCCTATCTTTCCTACGCAGTGGGATAGTTTGCTCTTGTGCCCTTAATGTCTCTTTGAAAAACTGCCAACTGTCTTCAGTTGTCTTTCCCCTTAGACTTGCTTCCCATGGGATTTTACCTACCAACTCCCTGAGTTTGCTAAAGTCTGGCTTCTTGAAATCCATTCTTTATTGTACTGTTCTCCCTTCTACCATTCCTTAGAATCATGAACTCTACCATTTCATGATCACTTTCACCCAAGTTGCCTTCCACTTTCAATTTCTCAAACAGTTCCTCCCTCTTTGTCAAAATCAAATCTAGAACAGCCTCCCCTCTCAGTAGCTCTCTCCACCTTCTGAAATAAAAAATTGTCTCCAATACATTCCAAGAACTTGTTAGATAATCTGTGCCCTGCTGTGTTATTTTCCCAACAGATGTCTGGGTAGTTGAAATCCCCCATCACCAAGTCCTGAGTTGGCCTGTTATCTCCTATGTCTTACATATGAAACTCCTGTAATACACTCTAGAATTATATTTGTGTTCTTCGCAACTGCATCACGTTGACTCATATTCCATTTGTGATACATAACCCCCAGATCCTTTTCAGTAGTACTACCACCTTGTCATTTTGTAATTATGCATTTGATTTTTCCTTTCTAAAACTAGTACTTTGCACTTGACCTTATTAAATTTCATTTTGTTAATTTCAGACCAATTCTTAATTTTGTCAAGGTTATTTTGAATTGTAATCCTGTCCTCCAAAGTGTTTGAAACCCCTCCCAGCTTGGTGTCATCCATAGATTTTTATAAGCATAGTCTCTATTCCATTATCCAAGTCATTACTGAAAATATTGAATAGTAGCAGACCCCGGAATGACCTGTGCTGGATCCACTAGATACATCTTCCCAGTTTGACAGCAAACTACTGATAAGTACTTTTTGAGAATAGTCTTTCAACTAGTTGTGCACCTATTTTATAGTAATTTCATCTAGACCACATTTCCCTAGTTAGCTTATGAGAATGTCACGTGAGACTATGCCAAAGCCTTACTAAAATCAAGGTATATCATGTCTACTGCTTTTGCCCTAGCCACTAGGCCAGTAATTCTGTCATAGAAGTAAATTAGGTTGGTTTGCCATGATTTGTTCTTGACACATCCATGCTGATTATTATCACCCTATTATTTTCAAGGAGCTCTGAAAAATTGATTGTTTAATAATTTGTTCCAGTAGCTTTCCAAGTATCAAAGTTAGACCAGGGCCGACGAAAGGGGGGGGAAGCTGGTACAAATTACCTGGGCCCGGCGGTCCGGAAGGGGGCCCGGGGCCCAGCTTCCCCAGCTTCGTCAGCCCTGTTTAGCTGGTCCGCCCTTCCAGGGGGGCCCGAAAAATTTTTTTCACCGGGGCCCGAACCTGCTCTCGGCGGCCCTGAGTTAGACTGGCTGGTTTATAATTTCCTGAGTTGGCTTTGTTCCTCTTTTTAAAGATAGGTACTGTGCTTTCCCTTCTCCAGTACTATGAGACCTCACCTGTCCTACATGAGTTCTTGAAGATAATTGCTAATGATTACGAGCCTGCTTCAGCTAGTTCCTTAAGTACTCTATGATGAATTGTGTCAAGTCCTCCTGACTAGAATACGTCTAAACTATCTAAATATTCTTTAACCTGGTCTTTCCCTGTTTTGGCATGTGTTCCTTTTCTCTTGTTGCTAATGTTAATAGTGTTGAGTATGTGGTCATCATTAACCTTTCTAGTGAAGACTGAAGCAGAATGGGCATTAAGCACCTCTGCTTTCTTGATGTCATCAATTTTTGGCTCTTGTTTCCTGCTACATAAAGAACCTACACTTACGTTGAGAGCAAGAGAAAGATAAATTTATAGAATCTCCTCTTATTGCCTTTTATGTCCTTTACTACATGTAGCTCATTTTGTGTGTTAAGCTGTCTGCTTTTGTCCCTATGTGCTTGTTATTCTTTTGCACTGATCCTTAGCACTTTGTTCATGTTTCTGCTTTTTATAGGATTCCTTTTTGATTAAAGAGCTCCTCTTGGAGCCATGTTGGCCTCTTATTATCTTGACTTTGCATTGGAATAGCTTGCTGTTATGCCTTTATATTGTCTGTTTGTGAATTGCCGGCTCTTGAACTACTTTTTCCCTTAGATTTTCTTTATGGGACACCTCTGATTTTGTTAAAAGTGTGGGGGGTTTTAAGTCCATTGTCCTTATTCTTCGCTTGCTCCTTTCTTTCCTTAGAACCATAAGGTCTGTCATTTTGTGATCCTGTCACCCAAAGTGCCTTCCACCTTTAAAATTCACAAGCAATTCTTCTTTGTTGGTCAGAATCAAAGGGGGGCAGGGATAGCTCAGTGGTTTGAGCATTGGCCTGCTAAACCCAGGGTTGTGAGTTCAATCCTTGAGGAGGCCATTTAGGGATCTGGGTCAAAATCAAGTCTAAAATGGCTGTCCTCCTGGTTACCTCCTACACTTTCTGAAACAAAAGTTCTTTTCCTCAAAACATTCCAATAACTTATTGGAAAGTCTGTGTTTTGCTGTGTTACTTTTCCAGCAGATGTCTAGGATTACTGCCAGGGCTTGTGTTTTGTATATTTCTGTTGTTTGTTCTAGAAATGCCTCCATCTCCTTTTCCTGATTTGATGGTCTATAGTAACCCCTTATCTTGACATCACTCCTATTTTTGCCCATTTTATCTTTACCCAGAGATTTTCAACTAGTCTGTTTCTCTCCTCCTTCTGGACCTCAGAAAAAATTTATATGTTCTTAATATATAATGCCACACCACTTCTTTTTTTTTCTTCTGCCTGTTCTTCCTGAACAAGTTATACCCCTCTGTACCAATATTACATTCAAGATTTATCCCAACAAAGTCTTTGTGATGCCAATTATGTCATAATTTAGCTTATGTATAAATACTTCCAGTTCTTGTTTATTCCCCATACTCTTTGCATTTGTGTATCGACATCCTAAAATGTTGAGCAGATGCCCTCACTGATCTCACTCATGCTCCTGTGATCCTATTATAATTTTCCATGTCCCTCCTACCCAAATATCTAGCTGTCCATTAGGGTTGCTTTTCCTATGCTTACCTGTGGGCTTTTGTCACTTGCGACCTTTGAACTTAGTTTAAAGCCCTCCTCAGTAGGTTGGTACATGAAGATCCTTTCCCCCTTATTGGTCAGTTGGACCCCATCTCTTCCTAGCAGACCTCCTTCCTAGAATAGCAACATGTGGGTGAGGTAGCCAGAGCCTTCCCATTGATGCCATCTATGCAGCCATGCATTCATCTCCAGGATATGTCTCTCTACTTAGGCCCTTACTCTCAACTGGGTGGATGGATGAGAACACAACCTGTGTCCCCGACTCCTTCATCCTCAATCCCAGAGTCCTGTATTCACTGCTTATCTGCTCAGGATCATACCTGGTAGCATTATTAGTGCCCATGAGCAGCATGGGATAGGAGTCGGGGGATGAATTAGTCTTGGCAACCTTTCTGTGACATCTCTGATATGGGCTCCATGAAGACAGCACGCCTCTGGGACTCTATATCAGATTGGCATATGGATGTCTATCTCCCTCAAAAGGGAATCACCGACCACCAGCACCCTATGCTTTCTTCTCTGGGGTGTGGTGAATGCGAGCCTCCCAACATTGGGAGAAGATGGCTCCTCCTCCTGTTGCCAGTACTGCACACTGGTTCTTGACCATGATGGATGGGGGGTGAAGCACTGTCTGCTGCCCGAGGTGACTGGCAACCAGTCTCCCCCCTTTAGAGCTGCCAATTCTCCTTCCTCCTCTCATGTTGCTGTAGTCATCTGAAGTTGGTTAGTATTCTCTGTCCCAGGTGTTTCCATGTGTCTTGTCAATTAAGTGCTCATGCTCCTAGATGCTACCCAGATGAGCCACTTCCTCCTGCTGCTCATCTACCTGTTTCCTGAGAAACTCCCAACAGACCCCTAACACACTAGTGGGTTCTCCTGCCAGGCCATGTTCTGAGCAAGTCAAGACAGGGCCAGGGTGGAAGCTTCCAGAGTCAGGATGCCTGTCTGGCAGTAGCCCCCATAGGTGCATGCAGAGTTAGAGCTAGCTAGCAGTGGTGTTGGTGACACACCATTTCTGTCATTGTGGGCTATTCCTTGTAGAGTAGCTGCAAGTTAGGGTTCTGTGGTTTTCCTTTCCTTATCTCCTTACTGTCCTTTTGCTGGCAAACTCAACTAGCTAATTCCCTTAGTCTTACCAGCCACATCACCTGTAGTCTCATCATCCCTAGTCTCACCAGCTACGTGTCTTACCAGTCATTGGGAGCCTGCATGCTTTTTAAAGCTGGGCCTCATGTAGCGCTGGAATGGGTGATTCAACCCCTCTCACTCAGCCACCTCTAATCACTGCTCAGTGAATTGGGCCCTAGACTGCCTTTGTGTCTTTGTTCCTCCTAAAAGTACATAAAATCCTCTCTTCCTCAGGCAGCTTTGTATTAACCTTTTATGCAGACTGCCTCTTCACATAAAATTATACTTCATTAAACAATAAATGAATTGTTAAAAATGAATATTGTTGGCCAGTTGCTTTAGGAAGTTATCTTAAAGATTTCCTCTATTTATTTTATTACCAAAGGTGAGTGAAGCAGGCGTTCACAGACCCCATGTTGGCGGAATCCATGGACGCAGTAATGATGGAGCTTATTCACTTGTGCTGGCTGGAGGATTTGAAGATGAAGTGGTATGTTTTTTATCCAAACCAATGTCAAGACTTCTGTTTTATGAATGTGGAGAGTTAAGTTCATTGCTGCTCCTAAAGTTAACCCTCATAAACAAGGTGTGAGCTCACAGAATAATAAATATTAACTATTATTTAACTTATTTTTTGAATTTAAACAAAAATATATGTTTAAAAAAAATATGGTTTTGGATGACAGAAGACAACTTCGTGTTCTAATGTAAAGTACTTTAATTACTGCTGAATTTTAGTTTATTCACAAATGATAATTGTTAATATTCTTATATAGTCTGGATTTATTATCAGCATATAAAATCTGATGAGCTTGTGACAGTAGGCTTTGTAAATGATGCATTTTAGATCCTGCCCTGGCCATCATCTTTATTGCTGTCAAGTTAATAAAACTGACTATCAAGCAGATAATCTTGAATTTTCGGCAGTGATCTTAATTTTAGTGAGGCTAAGATAAAAGATACAAGGTCCGATCCTGAGATGTGCAGAAGGTCCTCGTCTCCCGTTGATTTAACTGAGAGCTGAGGGCCCTCAGTACTACACAGGAAAATGATTCTTTGGCTCAATGTGCTCAAAAAAAGATGTTGGGAAATTTCTACATTGGTGACCAATACATATAAACATCTAAATAGAGTGACCAAGCTATATGAAGTATTAGTCTTTTGTCCTTTCTTTTCATGAGCCTGACCAAGATAAGTGTGCGAATAGATTTTCTGTAATCAAAATAATGTTTACACAGGGTACTCCCCCTCCTGCAGTTCTATGCCATCAGGTGGAATTCTGAATCGTACAACAGGTGAACATAAAGCAGTGTAAGCATCCTGTTTTTTTAAAAAACATAGGCAGCTGTTAAACAAAGGCAGGGGAAAAGGCATTAGACAAGGAAATGAAATAAACATCCTAAATAGCATCAGAATGTTATGTATTCTTTGCCAACAGCGCTTACCCAGCTGCTGCCGCTGCGGGAGTTTGCCTCCGAAGGCATCAATGTGTCTCTGTTGGAGAAGTCACATGAGGAGGTACTTGGTGTTGGAACATTACTACATCCCTGGAGTCAACCCCAACCCAAGCCCCAGGGCACATGGCCATGGCATCCTATTGAGTCAGCTGCTATATGGTCAAAGCTGGGTAGCTGGGGGATGCTATTACTTCTGTTCTTTATTTTTGGCAGTGGTATTGATGTTTTGGAACCTTGGTATCCCTGGTCTTATCCCCATCTGATGGTATGGCCAGGTGCTACTGCAGATACTGATACTCAAGTAAAGTCATATTCTTGTGGGCTTTATATTTTGGAAGGAGCAGAGAGGGAGAAGGGAGGGGAAGAAATATTGCAGATGCTATTCTCAAATGTTTGTATGACTACCAGACATGGTGCCTTTAGGCTTAGTTCCTGTAGCTCTTTAATTAAGGATACAGAGAAAAAAAATCTTATTTAGGCGCATGTTTAGTAATAGTGCTAATTTTCTCTTCAGTAACTGCTTGCTGGCATCAGCCTATACAAACCAACTTTCTATGGATTTTCAGATGACTTCCACCTTCCCATTTTTCTTAGAGAGGGTTAAAGGAGAAAGTTCTCTAACACACAAAGAAAAATTCAAACTCCTTTCTTGTCACTCTTCTACATACACCAACCATTCCCCCAACAAAACATTTCCTTAAAAATTGGTGTAGAGGCTTGGAGTCCTGCCCCAGCCAGTTCACTAAACAGGACCAAGGAAAGTGGGATTAAGAGTCCAACAGGACTAATCACTTGAGCATAGTTACTTGTATGTAAGTGTTTGCAGAATTGAGTGATAAATTAATATTAGAGGCTATTTTACGGCATATGTTTATAGTATTTTTCAAATGGTTTCTACTAACCTTCAAGCTGCTTCTTCACACTCTCCTTGTGAGTATGAGCAGCTGCTTATCACATGAGTGATATTTGGCTTGCAAAACTTGTTGCAGGAAGTGGAAATTACCCTTTGGCTTTCAGTTCTTATCTTTTTATGATGCACAACTGAAAGTGCAAACAAACAAACATGTAACTTTGGTCACATAAATCCTGTTGAATTTAGTGAATAAAGTTACTCAGTTGCATCAGTGCGGGATCAGGCTCCAAATGTAGAAAGGGGTTTCATCAGCTTTTGCAAAATGAGCAGTAAAATGAAACTTAACAGTCTTGCTGCTTATGCTGAATTTCCATAAAGTTACATGCATCTAAAGTGTTTGCATATTAATATTTTTCTTGTGATTGTCTATCCTCGTAATTTAATGGAAAGGAGTTCAGTTGCTTTAGTTATCCAATTTTAAGATGCACTAATTCTAGCTACCTCTGATTCAGATTGTTGTATTTGTTAAAAATAAGAATCTTTCAGTCCTGTTCTTGATATTTTAAGGACTCTAGAACACTAACTTGAAGAAATTATTGCAGAATTTTTTTCCATGAATTTGAGCAGTCTAAGGCCTTGTCTACACTAAAGGGAAAAGTCGATCTAAGCTACGCAGTTTGAGTTACGTGAATAACGTAACTCAAATCGACATCGCTTAGATCTACTTACCGCAGGGTCCACACTACGCGACGTCGATGGGAGACGCTCTCCCGTTGACTCCCCTTACTCGTTTCGATCAGGTTGAGTACAGGAGTCGACCGGAGAGCGATTGGCAGTCGACTTAGTGTGTCTTCACTAGACCTGCTAAATCGACCGCTGATGCATCGATTGCTGCTCGTCAATTCCCAGTAAGTGTAGACAAGCCCTAAGAACTATGTTCATTATGGACCAATGTTTGTCAGGAGCCAGTATGACAGATTTTAGACATTATTAATTACTGTGACATTCGGGATCAGAATCTTCATGATTTATTCCTTTGGAAGCATCTGTGTATCCAATTCAAACTATATTAAAGAAGATTCAACATCCTCTCCTTTGAGATGCCAAATTGTCAATCTGTAGTTTTTGCAGTCAGGTTTTGTGGCTTCACTGAAAGTTTAAATACTTTTTGAGTCAGAATTAAAACTAATGTTTGCTTCCTCTTAGAGTATGGACTTCAAGGTGCATTCTTCAGATGGGTTTGAGGAAGTATTAATCAAGGTGGTTAACTTAAGTACTGATTCTGTGTCAACAGTTTAATCTGAATGAATTTTGTTTTTGCCTCAAGTGCCCTCTGCTTATTTCCATTTGTGGGATTGGCAGTTCCCATTGTTGAGTTACAGAATCTTCTGGAGAACAGTGTGCATTGAGGTCACTTAACACTCCCTCTCCCTCCTCTGTGGGCGATTCTCAGGTTATTGGAGGAGTGCTCCCAACTGCTCCTAGGTTCGTTTTTAACTTCCAAAGGTTCAGTGAGCTCATCTCACACACGGTGTCCTCAGTTCTTTCCTTCCTTTTCTTCTGCCGTCTCGGGGCTATTTTTATTTTAGTTAGATTCTCAGTTAATTAACAAAGGTTTCTTAATTTAAGAACAAAAAAGAAATTATAACCATTTGTCATGTGTGTCAGCTGGACACACATGGAGCAGGAGGGCTGCCAAACCCTGCTGATGGGGAAGCTCTTCAAGTCCCAGAAGCTAAGTCTGGCAATATGTAAGTCCATCATTGACTTTAGAGATTCGCTAGGCAAGTGATTCTATTTCCAGCTCATGCAGCATTCAGGTCCATGGTCTTAACCTGCCTGACAAAGCCCGGTACTGAGATTCCAGCACAGTAGATACAGCAACGGGATCCCTGGATCTGTCCAGGTCAACCTAATGCAGCAGTGAAATTTCAGCACTGCTGCTAGGACACCAAAGCCCCAGGGTGTGACTGGGTAGACCTAATCCAGCACAGCGGTTCTGGCACAACCAGCATGTTGCTGAGATCCCGAAATCCCTGTAGGTAGACCCAGGTCATTGCGGAGGTCCTGGAACTGTTGACATGCTGCCAGGGTTCTGGCACCATCAATTCCAGTGAATCAGAAGTGGATTGGTGCCCACTGTAAGAGGCACTAAGGTCCCCAGATCCCTCTAGGTCAACCAAGTCAATTGCCTAGGATCTGGCAGGCTAGAATGTGGTGAAGTACCTGATGAAGTCATCGGGTACCCCCTTTGTACATGGCATTAACATCCCCACAGTCTGAATCATGCAAGTCCAGTTCTAAGGATTTGGCACTATTGGCTGGTGTACCACTTGCTTGAAGTGATCTAGCACGAGTATAAGTGGTTTTTGATCTCTGGATCCATCTGGATTGACAGTCTGGTGCTGAGGATCTGGCACAATTGACTCTGGTGAAACACTTGCATGAAATGATTCGATGCACAGTATAAGCAATCTTGGATTAAGGGTCACTTACTCAACAGATGGGTCTAACATTTTTTAAAACAAAATACTCAGCGAGTAGTTATCAGTTATTCACAATAGGGAAGTTGATCAGGGTGATCTCAGAACACTCACCTCCAGCACTGGACAGCTTCAGTCTTCCTTTGTTGCACAAACTCATTTATAACTTTTTGTCATCTTTTCTTATACAGATGCATTATTAGTCTCTCATTTCCATATTAACTCCCCTCCCCCAGCAGGCTTATTGTTCGTTCAAATCAGTTTTCTAGCTTTTTAGTACTTTATCTTTTCTTGTTCTCAGAAACAGGATTGCTCTGCAGTTTCTTATACATGCATAACACTAAACATGATTACTCATCAATTTCTTACATGAACACAGTTCTATTTATTTTTGTGCTGTTAAATGTTATCAGAACAGACTCTTAAAATCCCCAGCAGGCTTCTGTCAGGCGTAAATATGCCTTCATTCCCAACAAATGGCATTAAGGTCCCTCGTTCCATTGGTGTCAAAGGTACAGCAGCATGATTCGGCAAAAAAATAGTTGAAGTGTCTCTGTGCCCAACTCTAGTGGTAGTAGGATCCTCAGATTCATCTGAGGTAACTTAGTTTGATGCCCAAGATACAGCACTATTAACTTAGCTAAACCACTGTTCAAACTGGTTTGGTGTCCCCAATGTGCAGGTCTCCAGGTTTGCT